AGAAATTAATTGGACAACTAGAAATATATAGAAAAAATTAGCCGGGCACGGTGGTGTGTGCCTGTAGTCCCAGCTACTCGGGAGGCTGAGGCAGTAGGATTGCTTGAGCCCAGGAGTTTGAGGTTGCTGTGAGCTAGTCTGAAGCCACAGCACTCACTCTAGCCAGGGCAACAGAGTGAGACTCTGTCACCAAAAAAAAAAAAAAAAAAAAGAACATTTGTGATTCATGGGAGGAGGTCAAAATATCGACATTAACAGGAGTTTGGAAGAAGTTTATGCCAACCCTCATGGATGACTTTGAGAGGTTCAAAGCCTCAGTGCCGGCCGAGCGTGGTGGCTCACGCCTGTAATCCTAGCACTCTGGGAGGCCGAGGCGGGAGGATAGCTCAAGGTCAGGAGTTCAAGACCAGCCTGAGCAAGAGCGAGACCCCATCTCTACTAAAAATGGAAAGAAATTAGCTGGACAACAAAAAATCTATAGAAAAAAAATTAGCAGGGCATGGTGGCGCATGCCTGTAGTCCCAGCTACTCAGGAGGCTGAGGCAGTAGGATCGCTTAAACCCAGGAGTTTGAGGTTGCTGTGAGCTAGGCTGACGCCACAGCACTCTAGCCCAGGCAACAGAGTGAGACTCTGTCTCTAAGAAAAAAAAAAAAGAAAACCTCAGTGGAAGAGTAACTGCAGATGGGGTAGAAATAGCAAGAGAACTAGAATTAGAACTGGAGACTGAAGATGTGACTGATTGCTGCAATCTCATGATCAAACTTTAATGGATGTGAAGTTGCTTCTTGTGGATGAGCAAAGAAAGTGGTTTCCCCCAGGTAGAATTTATTGTGGGTCAAGATGCTGTGAACACTGCTGAAATGACAACAAAGGATTTAGAATATTACATAAACTTAGTTGAAAAAGCAGCGGCAGGGTTTGAGAAAACAGACCCCAATTTTGAGAGAAGTTCTACTGTGGGTAAAATGCTATCAAACAGCATCACATGCTACAGAGAAATCTTTCACAAAAGGAAGAGTCAATGTGGCAAAGTTAATTGTTGTCTTAAGAAACTGCCACGGTCACCCCAACCTTCAGCAATGACCACCCTAAATTAGTCAGCAGCCATCAACACTGAGGCAAGGCCCTCCACCAGCAAAAAGATTATAACTCACGGGAGGCTCAGATGATCATTAGCATGTTTTAGCAATAAAATATTTTTTACTTAAGGTATGTACTTTTTAGACATAATGCTATTGCATGCTTAGTAGATTACTGCATAGTATAAACATAACTTTTATATGTACTGGGAAACCAAAAACTTCATGTAACTTGCTTTATTGCAGTGGTCTCAAACCTAATCTACAACATCTCTGGAGTATGCCTGTATTAAGAACCAGAGTTTTATATAATAATAATGTATTATTCATAAAATATTGTCACTTTCTATAAAACTACATATTTGCTTATAGTTATAGAAAGAAAAAAAACTGGCATTTATATGGAAAAGCTATGTAAGAACTATCTTGTGAAATACTATGATTTTAAGTTTTATAAAAATAGCATAGAAGACTTATGCTTCAGTAGAGCAATGCTCCCACTGTAACAATTTTTTTAACCGTATAAATTACTAAAATTGTATGTTTGAAGACATTGGCAAGCTATACAGGCAACATGGACTCAGTGAATTAAAATTCAAGAGATGAAAGAGGCCTTCATAGGTGAGCCAACTGTCCTAGATTGAGGCTTTGCACATTTGGCCTCATAATCAGAGACTGTTCTATGAACAATGCTATTAGCATATTATTATTTAGGATACTTAGAAATATTAAAATTCAACTCATTCTAGCATTCATTAGCTTCATTTAAAGTTTAAAATTTATGGAACAAAATGCAGAACCATATGTATTGAACAAAATAGAAAACTTACTGATAGGATTTTCTAGTCCTGCTTCTAATTTCTTAAGCCACAATACAAGGTTTAGTTCAGTTATAGCCTGGTCTGAAGGAAATGCAAATACTTGGCCACCTGAATGCAGATTCACCAAAA